ACGACTTGGACAGGGGAAAAAAGCGGGGAAAGAGAAGCAAATTCAAAAAGAAGACACCAGCGCCCGCGGGGAGGAGACGTCAGCGGCTGAGGCTGTAAAACGGGCACAGATCACCCAAAACACACACAAACATAAGCGGAGGAAAATAAAAAACAAACAAACCCCGCGAAGTGAAGCCGAAGCGTGGGGGCGCGTCCACCGAGCAGTGGGGACGCGCAGCAACACATGGGACGACCAGCACACAAACTCTCTCTCTCCGCTCCCGCACAGCCCACTCCAGGAAGAGAGAGAGAGGGGTCGCCCACTGAAAGCAATGGAAGCAAACAAACAATAAAGAAGGATAAAAACAGTTACGGTGCTGTACCCACGCAGCCAAGCAGGACGGCAGCGGCTCATCAGGGGGCAAAAGAAGAAGAGGACCGACGAGCCTGCATGAGTGGAGTTGTGTACAGTTATGAGCACATTATGTGTTGTCTGCCTCGTGGGGTGGTGCGAGGGGCGAGAGAATCCGTGCAGGGGCGCACAGAGATAAGGAAACAAAGAAGAACGAGCTGTGTGCACGCACGGTCCTCCTCCACCCCACTCTCTGTCCCACTCTCACGCGGCCAGCATCGCAGCGGCAGCCGCACACGCAAGCAGAAGCAGCAGCGCAAAGGGGGAGGCGAAGTGCGAGGCCGCGGTGCTGCTGCCGTCACTGTCACCGGGCGCCGGCTTCGTTGCATTCTTTTTGGTTGCGGTACTCGCCGCTTTAGCAGCCGCCCCCGCTGCCGGCTGAGTGCCTCGTCCTTCGCTGTCGCCACTCGTTTCCGTTTCCTGCTGGGAGGTGGGCACTGCGGGCTGCGCCGCGGGGCCGCTTTCACCGTCAGTCGTAGTCGCCTTCGTCGTTGCAGTGGCGGCGGCGGCCTCACGCCTGCGGGGGTCCACGCCGAAAAAATACGCATAGATCTCGTCCATCCTGTCAGTTACGCATTTACGTGCGGTCGCCTTCGCATCCTTTTTTTTCATCTCCTCAATCGCAGAGTTGCACTCGAGCTCTATCAGGTCGTACCAATTCGAGTACAGACGTTCGAGCTCGGGCTTCGTTGGGCGCGCGGGTTCGGCCGGCCCCGACGCCCAGCCCCCGCCGGCGGCGCAGCACAGCGCGCAGAGGGCGCACACCAACAGCGCACGGCCAGCCATCGCCACTCCTCGCACAGGCACAAGCACACGCACAGAGTCTAGCGAGGGGCGGAGAGAAAGAAAGAGTGCGTGGGAGGGACAAACACACAGACACACACAGCAGCGGCCCGCGCAATGGGTGCATTCAGCCAACACACAGAAACAGGGAAATAGTAAATAGCCGAGGCATTGCCGTCCCGCTAGGGAAGAAAAGCAGAAGCAACGGCAGAAGAGGGTTTTGTGTACGCTCCTCCGCATGTGCCCTCACGATAGCCCGGAGCGGCAAACGGCACACCGCAGCGGGTCCCAAGGGCCGCTTCCCTCCCGCCAC